ATCTAGAGGCATAAGGGAGATGAAGAGATAGTAACAGTGGGTTCCCATCTGGGGCCGGCAGTGGTAGAGCTCGCAGGGATTTCTATCTCATTCGAGGCGCTAGGAGAGGTATGAGTGACTGTTCCAGAAGGGGAGGGAGGAGGCTTCTGTTCTTGTCCCCTATCACTACTGGGTTGGAATAGGTAAATTTATAGGAAAATAGAAAATACCAAAGATTTATAAGAAGAAATAAGGAACTTAAATTAATCAATAAGAAAATAAAGAAATCAAGGTAGAAGTTATAACTTCTTCTCCTATCCGTCAGGGAAAAAACTCAGGCCCAGTGGTTTTACAAGTACATTCCACCAAACTTTCAAAGAAGGATTAGCTCCTATCTTATGTGAAAAGTTGTTTGAAGAAGTAGAAAAAGAGTAAGAGCTACACAGCTCATTGGATGAAGTTAGTGTAAGTCTGACTCCAAAACCAAACTGTGATAGTTAAAGAAAGTTAGAATCTCATATCACTTATGAAATAGTAGCAAAAATCCTAAATAACATATGAACTAAATGAAGAGGACAGTGTGTTTTAAAAATAAATTGTATGCAGATGGGATTTATCACAGGAGCTTCAAGAAGATTGTTCATCAGGAAATCTAAGGGCATAATTTAACATATTATTTGACTGAGAGAAAAATCATGATTATCTCAATCAACACAGGAAAACATTCGATAAAGTTCTACACCTATTTATGATGAAAAAAAATACCAAATACCTCTTAGCCAATTAGGAACAGAAGGGTACTGCCTTAACTTGGTCAAGGTCATATGTAAAACACCTGCAGCAGCCCTGGCTGGTGTGGCTGAGTGGATTGAGTGCCGGCCTGAAAACCAAAGGGATGCTGGTTCGATTCCTAGTCACAGCACATGCTGGGGTTGTGGGCCCCCAGTAGGGGGCGCTTGAGAGACAACCACACATTGATGTTTCCTTCTCTTGCTCCCTCCCTTCCCCTCTCTAAAAATAAATAAATAAAATCTTAAAAAGAAAAACCTGCAACAAATAAATAGTATGCTTAATGGAGAAGATGTAGATACCTTGAGATTAGAAGAAAAGGGTGCCCACAATCCCCAATTTCTGGTTAACACGGTATTGGAAGCACTTGTCAATGCTCTAAGGAAAGGGAGTATAAAGATGGGAAAGGAAGAGGTACAATCATCTTTATTATATCTACTTAGAAAAACCAACAGAATCAGCAGAGTATTAAGACTCATGAAGTTCAACAAGGTTGTTGGTTCCAAGACAAGCTTTTAAAAATTTAATAGCATTTTTATAGCAGCCATAATCAACTAGGTAATGTAAGAATAAGAGCATGTGCAAGAGCAATGAAAACGATGAACTATTTAGTACAATAAAACTATAAACAATTTCGCTGAAGCAGGAATACACAGGTGTTCATGTTGTAAACTATAAAACTAGTAAAGGATATAGAAGATGATTGGCATAAAGCAAGAGACATTCCATGTTTTTAGAAAAATTGACTTAAAGGCATGAAGATGGCAAACTTCCCAAATTAATCCACTGAGTCATTGAAATCCGAGTCAAAATGTTAGTTGAATTTTTAGGGACTGAATAAACTTTCTCTAAAATGTATTTGGAAAAATAAAGGTCCAGAAATAACAAAGTCAAACTTGAAAAACAAGAGGAAAGAGGTGAGCTTTATTCTACCAAATATTAAAACATGCTACAAAGTCATCATAATAAAATCAGCATGATGTTGGCTCAAACACAGATGAAAAGACCAGTGGAACAAAATAAAGAGCTCAGAAATTGACTTATAAACAAATATGGAAACTTAATATATGGTAAAATGGGAGCTGAGGCTCAACAGGGAGAGAGAGGACTGGTTAGTAGATGATGTTGGGAAAACAGTCTCCCTATATGGAGATAATAAAATGGGCTCCCTATATGGAGAAAAATGAAACTGAATCTCCACCAAGCACCACACACAAAGGGTGCTTGAACTCATCAGTGATCAGATAAGGGCAAATTAAAATGACTGTAAAACCAAGAATCAGGTTAATGCCAGGTGGTGGTGAGGCAGTGGGGCCCCATGCAGTGCTGTCGGCCGGGCAGACCTGCAGCCGTTCTGGAGGGCCCTCTGGCTAGGCTTAGTCAGCTAGCCCAGCATTCTGCTCCCAGACATATTTATATATTTTTAATCTCACCTGGATTCAGTGGTATTCATGACAGCATTGTCTGGGGTGGTGAGGAGCTGGAGGCAATCTGGGTGTTCGTCTCTGGGGCTCTCGGGGTGCTCAGAATGTGATGGGTGCACACCGTGTAGTCCTCCACGGCAGGTAGAAAGAAGCATGGGACTTAAAACAGAGGTTGAGTGGAGGAAGTAACAAGGAAGTATATAATACAACACTGAATGCCTAAGTGGTGTTGTGTTATATATTTATAATATAAATGTATTATCATGTACTGGATTTAAAATTCATTCACACACAACGCACATGGTTTCATATACCTACCACATACTGCTTACCAAATAACCACCAAAGTTAAACAGCAATAAACATGTATTATCTCAAGCCCTGGCAGGGTAGCTCAGCTGGTTGGAGCATTGTTCCAATACACCAAGGTTGCAGGTTCCATCCCCAGTTAGGACACATACAAGAATTAACCACTGAATGCGTGAATAAGTGGAACAACAAATCAGTCTCTCTCTCTCTCTCTCTCATCAATAACTTTTTTAAAGCAAAACTTAAAAAACATCCCAAAACACTGATCTGACATGACTCCTGTGGGTCAGGAATTCTATGGGTTAAAGCAGCTTAGGTGGGCGACTCTGGCTCAGGGACTGCCCTGGGTCACGCTCAAACCACCAGCCAGGGCTGCAGTCATCAGAAGGCCGGACCGGGGCTGGAGGATCTGTCTTCGAGGTGATGCCCTCACGCTGTGCAAGTTGGTGAGAGGCCTCAGTTCCTCACCACGCACGCCTCTCCCCGGGGCTCTTTTGTGACACCGTGGCTGGCTTCTCCCAGAGTGAGTGATATGAGTGACCTGAGTGATAGGACAGCGAGCAAGGAGCTACGCTGCCTTTTGTAACCTGGTTGGAAAAGTTACACACTTCCACCACATTCTACCGGTAAGAAGCAGATCGCCAAGCCTAGCTCATAAGGGGAGGGAGTCAGCCTTCACCTTTTGAAGAGAAGCATATCAAAGAAGTTGGGCACCTGTTTTCAAACCACCGCACATACAAACAAGATACACATTCAGCAGTTTGCAATGGCTGCCTTTGATAGGGAAGAATAATGGGAATGGGGTCGAGGAAATGCAAGGAAGGAAGCAAGGGAGGCAGGCGGGGAGGGAGGCTGACCACGGGCCCTGTGTGTGCCGAAGACTCTGGGTGCCACGCGCTGAGGTGTGTGTTTCATTCTCTGCACCTGGGGGGGGGGGGGAAAGAAACTTGGTACGCATCTTTTTGGTCTCCTTCCTATATGTTCACGTAAGTACATACACTTACAGCTTTGGTTTTCAGGGGGTTTGTGTGTATGTGTGTTTATCCTGGCTGGATCTTGTTATACATACGGACTGATTTACAACTAGGTTTTTTCACTTAAGTGTGTATCTCGGGGAGTCTTTCCACATCATTATATAGAGGTCTGTCTTGTTCTGTCTATTACCACACTTCGCTTCCTTACTGGGGGATGTTCGGGTCAATTTTGTGTCTTCTTTGTTCCTTTCCCTCTGGTTGGCTGGGCGTCTGCCTCGCTGTATCTCTAGCCACCATTGTCCTCTGTGTACTTTCCCTTTACTTGTTTTGTCCCCCTTGGAGTTCCACACTGAGGGACTAGGGATGTGCAAGACCATCCTGCTGCAGGCAGAGGTGGTAACTTGAAGACAGGCAGGGGCTGCTGTGGCAGATTTGCTACTTCTTCAGCCTGCCTCCTGCTGAGTAGCTGTATGGCGGATACGATGCCCTCAGCAAACACCCTGGTCCTTGCCCTCGAACTCCTCACATCTAGTCTGGGGACAGACAGGTGAGTAAGGCACCCACGGTAGAACTGTATAGGGTGAGGGAAGCCTTCCAAGTCCACTAGCTGCCTGGGCTTCATACCACCTGCATCACTTACTAGATGTTTGGTATTGGGCAAATTATTTTACTTCCCAATACCTCAGTTTTTGCATCTGTAAAATGAGGATGTGAGCCTATTTTCTTATAAGGTTGATCCGAGAAATAAAGATAATACATGTAAAGTGCTTAGCGCTGGCAGGTGTGGAGTGATCTGAGAACTTTGAACTGTTAGGAACTGGGCCGGGGCATGGTTCTGTGGCAACAGGGGCACCAATCCGATAGGAAGACATGGGCTCTGGGCTCTGTGCCTTCGACAAATGAAGGGTGCAGCCTGCAGGAGGGACAGCCCTTCCCCTGGCAGAGCTGGAGGAAGGTATCCTGGGGGTCAGAAAGGTCAAAGGAAAACCACTGGGTTGAAAATCTGAGGTATGCCTGGGGCATAGGGAGTAGTGCCCTATGGCTAGAAGGTCATGTTCACTGGCAAGGCAAGGAAAGTCCTTTTGGGATGTGTGCAGGCAGGCTTCTGGCACAGAGAAGGAGGTTCAGGGCCCTTCCATGAACTTGAACCCCAAATCTGAAGTTGCAGGTCTATCATAGGACTGCTGTCAGGGTCAGGCGAGGCTCCAGGAAGGAAGCTCCCTTCCCGCCATCCTCCTGCCTCCTGCAGCAGGGGCCTCCTCCCAGGGCCTGGCCACTCCCAGCATCCAGCACCCCCACCCTCCGCTGGTTGGGAGGCAGGCAGGAGTTTTTTCTCGGGGGCTGTGCCGGGTGGGCGGTTTTCCCAGAGCAAGACGAGAGGCAGGACTGAGTTAGCGCCAACTCCCTCAGATGTAGACATTGCTGGTGGGATGACCAGCCTGCCCCAGCTTGCTTGAACCCAAGGCTCCCTCAGGCACAGTGTTCCCGTCCTGGGGGCTGTGGCACCACATCCCTAGGGTGTGGCATGTCACAGAGAAAGGCCAGAGGGTTGCCCACGATGCCCAGAATGGGGCAGAGCCCGGCGAAGGCCAGGCCGAGGTTGCTAGCAGGCACCGACAGGAGAAGGAGCCGCCTGAGCAGGATGAGGCAGGACCTGTGGGAAGAGACCAGCTGGAGCAGCCCAAGGTGGAGCAGAGCCGCCCCTGCCCCAAGAGGGGCCAGGACCAGAAGCCTGGCTCGTGGCAGGGTAAGGAGATACTGGCCCTGCAGAGGGCGCTGGGGAGGCAGGGGTTGGAGGGGCTGAGAGAGGTCACCCCCGAAGGGAGCAGATCATTCAGTGTTAGCATCCCCCCTCTAAAGAGGGGACACTGGCCCGTTGGACTCTAAGGGCCCATGCTTCAGTGGTTAGCATGAATGGGCCTGAACCAGAGTGTGGCTGAGAGACCAGGCTTGGCTCACTTCTCTAGGGGGCACTGAGGCCGGGAGGAGGGGTGTGAATTTCCCCAGGTCCCAAGCAACAGTCAGCAGCAGGGCCAGGACCTCAGCCTGTGATTGGACCTGAGTTTGGTAACCTTTCCTCTTTGACACAGCTGCCTCTTCCTCGTGGGACCTGGCTGGGCCAAGGGTCATCCTGACTGAGCAAGGCAGGGCACCCTGATAAGCAGGCTTCAGACTTGGGCGTGGATGGAACGAGGGCCAGGAGGAGGTGCAGTGGACAATTAGGAGAGCAGGCTCTGAGCCCAGCTTTGCCATCCTGTTCCATCTGACCCCAGGCAGGCCTGCTCTCTGTTTCCTCAGCTGTAAGGCAGAGCAGGGCCAAGAACGGACACAACGAGGCAATGCTCTTGGTCCCTGCTGCTTAGAGTGCTACCACTCTGGCAGAAGACCCGGCACAAGAATGCCCTTAGAAGCCAGGGACGGGTGGGGGTCCGGCCAGACTCACTCACTGGGGGTCCTCTGTGCAGAGCGAGGCCAGTCCTGAGAATGCGGCGCGGGAGCGGAGCCGGGTCAGGACACTGCGCCAGGCCTTCCTGGCCCTGCAGGCCGCTCTGCCTGCCGTGCCCCCTGACACCAAGCTCTCCAAGTTGGATGTGCTGGTGCTGGCCACCAGCTACATAGCCCACCTCACCCGCGCACTCGGCCAGGAGTTGCCCGGCCCCGCCTGGCCACCCTTCCTGAGTGGACTCTGCTACCTGCACCCTCTCAAGGTAGGCCACGGGCCGCCAGGGCCTCAGTGATGGGGGTTTGGGCGGAGGGACACTGGACTTGGGGCCCCCTCTGCCCGCAGCAGGGGGTAGTGATTGGAAATAACTTCACGAGAATGCGGCTCCTCCAAGAGCATGGAGACCCCAACTATGCAGCCTAGTGACGGGGAGAGGAAGGAGTGGGTCCCAGGACTGGGGCCTGGGAAGGGAAGCTGCACCTAGGAGGGTCCTGGGGTCGGGGGAATCATCCCACTGTACAAGGCCTCAGTGTCCCCAGGACTTCTGTCGCAGGACAGCAGCCCCTCCGGGAGAACAACAGTCTAAGAAAGCATCACTCCAGAAGCGACCAGGCTCCGGGCAGGGTGGGCGGAGGCTGCGGCCTGACTCCCCTGCACCTCTGTTCTATTGTGTGTGAAGGGGCGACAACACCAGCCCGGCTCCTCTTCCAGGGCGTGAACTGAGAGTATGAATAAAGAGTATAGCTAACAATAAATCACCATCTCAATGACAGCTAATACTATTTGGATGCTAAAGTTATGCCAGGAGTTGGGCTAAGTGCTTTAGCACTTTTTTATCTCTTAATCCACACAAGAACAGAAGGAGGATTACTTTACAGGTGGGGAAGCCCAAGCTCAGGGAGATTAAGTGGCTGAATGCAGGTTGAACCCAAGGGTGTCTGACTTCAGACTCCCCACATCCCCACTGCCCCTGCTCACAGTCCCCAAGCAGGCCCATGAGTGGGTAAAATGGTGATCAGAGTAAGGCCACTGCACAGAGGAAGCGTTGGACGACACACTGAAGAGTGAACAGATGGGAGCTGGTCAGTGCGGCTGGTTAGGCAGGGGCAGTGTCACCTCAGCTTCCAGGTAGAGGGGCTGCCAAGAGGAGGGCAGACCTCAGGGTATATTCTGGGACTGCCCAAGCCCCTGCTGGAAGGACGAACAATCTTGGGAGGTCCCCAGCTTAGAGGCAGCACTGACATCTGGGACCAGAGGCACTCGGGTGGGGGAATGCTGTGCAAGAGAAGGAGTCAGGACAGTTCGGAGGCAGGGGTCTCCCCCACGCCCCAGCCCAGCCTGGCTGCAGCCGGCTCCACCAGCACCTCCCTCCTCACTGTGGGGCCTCCTCTTGGGCTCCTTGCTCCTCAGCTTACTCCTCAAGTGCGTCCCTGCCAGACTCAGGTGGACGGAAGAGTGTGTGGTGAGCCAGAGTCCACTGCCATCAGGGCGGTCACGGCAGGCAAGGGTCTCAGGGAGGGAGGGTAGGGAAAGTGGATCTGTGGGCACCGAGGACCACCAGGGCTGCAGCAGGACGCGTTACTCACCTTGCATCTCCGTGTCTTGCAGAAGTGGCCCATGCGGTCCCGTCTCTATACCGGAGGCCTGGGGTGCTCTGGCCTTGACTCCACCACAGCCACCACCTTGGGCCAAAGAGCAAAGGAGGCTGAAACCAGGCCCAGAGCCTCTGGAGAGGCAGATGCCCTCCTCCCCATCAGACCACTCTCACCAGCTCAAGCGGACCAATGACCCTCATGCTCACCCATTCTTCCTAGACTGCAACTCGAGCTTAGGGGCCTGGATTCTTCACTCTGACTTTTAGCCATCGGATCTGACTCAGCTCCCAGGTTCCAGCCTGCAGACCAGGCAAAGCCGTGGGGCGTCTGTGATGGAGAGAACTCAGGAGCACCAGGGAGTGGATCTTCATTCTTGGCACCCCGGGGATGACTCCCCAGTGGCTCTTTCATGGCAGCTACAGAGGGAAATTGGAGAGGAAATCGTCTGATAGGGTTGGAAGCTGATTTAGGGCACCACCCCTTGCTTCCCCTCCCCCTAAAGTTCCCACAAACCCTCTGGAGATCGCAAGCAGGCAGACCTTCCTGTACAGGCGCAAAAATAGGGACCTAGAGTGGCGGCAGCCGCAGGGGCTGATGGGACAGTTACAGGCCAGATAAGCTCTTGGCAGCTCTGGAGTGTGAACAAAGCTGGGCTGGGTTGGGGTCGCATCACCAGAGGGGAAGCTGAAGAAGAGAACATGTTTTGTTTTTTGGCCACAGCATGCTTGACGGCTCTCAAAGAAGCAGAAGGGATTTAGGAGGCTGGTCTCTGCATTATGGCCTCTCCAGCTGCCCCTCATCGCTAGCTACATTTTCTCCCTCGCTGGGCCCTGCACCCTTACCCACGTCTCTTGATATGAGTTATATTTACAGGTTCAGCCATAAGGCTTACGTTGCTCACATTCCAGTTCCCAGAAGCACTTCTATTCCCTACTGCCCAGTTTGAGATCTCAGCCCGGAGGCAGCTCTACCCTAACTGAACTAGTCGACGCCTTGAGGCCTTTCATAAGAAGAATGCAGATGGAGTCAGTTACATCCTCCGGGTGTAAGGACCTTAGAAGGAGGTGTATCTTTTCCAGGGAATAATAATTATAGTCTTCTTTTTTCATTATGTTAGAAACCTAACCTCCAGGGAAAACAAGGCCCGGGTTCAGTGGGTTCCTTGTGTGATTTTGGACTAAGGCCTCACTGGCTCCGGAGTTATTTTTACAATCCATCTACAAATGACCTTTCAAGGGCCAGCTCCACCCGCCGCATACTACCCTCCCAGGCTCTCCCTCAGTCGTGCGTGGGCCGCCAGGAATCTGATCGTTCCAGTGCAATTTACCTCTGGTCCTGAGGAAATAATCTGAGGACTAATCACTAGAGTCCCAGCAGGAGTGGCCTCAGACAGAGCCAGCATCTCCATCATGAGAATGAACGAGGTTTGGGGCAGGCTGGGAGTGGCTGGGACACTGGTGTGAGGAGTTGCTGTCCCTCCACAGGGCTGGCCAGAGCAGCAGGGGAAAGGGGGCTAAAGGGGTGACTCAGCAAGTTGGGGTGGAGGCAGGAAAGGAGACACAGAACGTTCTAGCCACGGCTGCACTGGATGTGGGAGAGCAGCTGGACTGTGGCTGGGAGCCATGGGGAGAAGGCCTCAGCCAAGGCCTAACTCGTAAATCTACTGAGGGGCCCGGAGAGCTTGTGCAGAGCCGCTTCTGGGAAGCCGGACGGGGCCAGGCAGGGGCAGAGACCAGGTGTGGGTGGGCATGAGACGCTTTCTTCGCAAGACCATAAAAGTCCAGCTCGAGTGTTCTATTTTTAAAGCCAATGAGCAGTATCTTCCTGGTTGAGTTTAAGGGTGACTGGAAGACGGGCAGATGAATTTCTCCCCAAGCCAGTGGCACACAGTGTTTTTCTGGGGATGAAACTGGGAAAGTTGGCTTTAGATGCGCATGGGGCGGGGGTCCCCCTAGAGCATGGGACTTCTCCTGATAACCGAGGGGACTCTGGTTTGGAGCTTACCCCAACCTGCCCAGCTTAGACACAAGCTTGTGTCCTTCGGGGGGTGACCACATCACCCTGGAAGAGAAGACAAGGAAAGCAAAGGAAAGATGAAGCCAGTGAGGGGCTGAGGGGCTGGGGGCTGCCATCGTTACAGTTTCTAAGGCTGCCTCAGGCTTCTTCCAGGCAAAGCCATGTCCCTTAGTGCCCAGACGGTCCTGTGGGGTCCAAAGGTCATCTTCTTCAGCTGGACAGCACCCAGCGCAGGGAACACAAGGGCTGCGAGGGTCATGGGTCAAGCCAGGGGAAGGACGGGGGATGAACGAGAATAACCAGAGGAAGTATCAGCTTGGAGACTTGGATCCACAAACCCACCAGAGCCAGGACTAACCACTTTTGCCTCTGTGGCAAAGGAAGAACACCTGCCCCGTGGGAGACTTTTTATTCCGACCAGTGCTGGGGGCGTGGGGTGGACAAGGGCAGTTGGAGGCAGCTGAGACTCAGGTGCAGACAGCATCTATTCCCTGGGAACAGTGGTGTGTGGGAAAGAGGTTCCAAAAGGAAGCAGGAGCAGATGACAAAACGACACTAAGGTGGCCTCGCTCAGGACTCAGAGGGAAGGCCCAGAGGGAAGTCTTCCCTCAGAGGCAAGACTACCTGGTTGTCTTGCGCAGGCCGGCCCAGCCCGGGTGGAGGCAGCAGGGGAGAGGACGGCTTCCCCGGGCCGGCTGTGCACCACTTTCAGATGCGCCACAGAAGCGAGGGCAGAGGCTTAGCTGGGCTGCGGGAGAAGCCGAGCTGGCCACGCGTTATCTAAGTGCTGAGGCGGGGACTGTAGAGCTTACCAAATTGGCCACTACGGTAATTAGAAATAGAAAACCTAGCCCTCTCTGAAAAATTCCTTGTCTCATCTTCAGGAGCCTGGCCAGGGTGAGTCGGATGGCACTCTCCTCTCCCTTCCGTGGCACATGTCCTAAACCCAGGGACCCTGCCAGCTGAGATTCAAGATCCAGGGTTGGCAGACTATGGCCAGTGGGCCAAATCCAGTCCCCCTCCACCTGTTCTTGTAAATCAGTTTTTATTAGAACACAGTCAACTCTGTTTGCTTCTGTATTACCTGTGGCTGCTTCCTGATACCACGGCAGAGCAGGATAGCTGAGACTGTGAAGCCTTCAGGGGTCACAGAAAAAGCTTGCTCACTCCTGCTCTAGAGCAGAGATGCTCAGACTGAGCCCAGGGACCCTGGAGGCGGGGAGGAGTCCCTGAGACCCTTTCAATGTTCTAAGTGGCTGAAACCATTTTCGTAAGATGCTATTTGCCTCTTTTCACTCCTGTCCTCTCACAAGTGTAATGGAAGTTTCCGGAAACCATGTGGCATGCGCTATTGCAACAGCAGACGGCATGTAGAGGCTGACAGAAGGACCCAGCTGTCGGTTACAGTAGACATTACGGATGTTTGCAAAAATGTAAAGCAATGCTACTCTTCTCACTAGATATTCTCCAACGTGGAAAGCAATTATTTTTCAGAAAATTGTTGTATATGTTCACACAGGGTGAGTTAATGTTATTTTAAAATAAATAGTGTTTAAAAATGCATTTTATTTATTTATTTATTTATTTATTTATTTATTTATCTTTAGAGGGGAAGGGAAGGAGAGAGGGAGAGAAACATCAATGTATGGATGCCTTTCGTGCGTCCCCTGCTGGGAACTGGCCTGCAGGAAACTGGTTTGCAACCCAGGCATGTGCCCTGACTGGGAATCGAACCGCGATTGTCTGGTTCGCAGGCCCGTGCTCAATCCACTGAGCTACACCAGCCAGGGCTTTAAAAATGCATTTTTATTTCTGATACGGTGACTGCCACTAGAAATAACTCACAAAAGTGAAAGCTCTTTCGAGTTTTACTTTTTAAAGAAAGTCAAGAGGTCCTGAGGCCAAAGGTTTTGGAATTCTTGCCCTCGAATAAAGAGGTGATGGTCAAGGACAGACCCCCCCACCCCAACGGTCCTGTGTGTGACAGCTCTATCCTCCGCCTCGGGCTGGCACAGTGAATCGGTCTTGGTCTTTGAGGACAAAGGGCTTGGGGTCAGTGGAGTGCCTGGCGGAGTGTGGCCAGGGGCCTGGCGCTCGAGTGGGGTCTCCAGGAGGGTGAAGGTGGGGCTGCTCCCCTTGCAGGCTGGGCCTTCCTCAGGCATGGCCATGGCCTCCTTGTCCCCACAGCCCTGCAGCATCCCATTGCTCATCTTCTCCGGGAACCCTGTGGCGTCCACAGCGGGGTCCTGGGCACACACAGAGCAAAGGGAGCAGACTGAGGAGCAGGAAACAGGGCTGGGGAAGCGGTGCGTGCAGAAGGGGGAAGACCCTGCTCAGACCCCAGTAAGCGGGTGTGTGTGTGTGTGTGTGCGTGTGCGTGTGTGTGGCACGAGGAGGGGAGCAGAGGAGGGGCCAGCAGGCTGTGGGCCTCTCTGCTCAGACCCTTCTGCCCACCGAGCCGGTGCTTCCCCATGGGCAGGAGCCAGGGCAGCTGCTGCAGGATGGTCCAGGCTCAGACACACCATCAGAGACAGGGCTGCTGGGTGCAGGGGGAAGGAAGAGGGATGGAAGGGCCCCCAGAAGGCCCCGTGGTTGTCTGGAGAGGGGGAGGGGGGGGGGCGATGGGACAACGTGGGTGCTACCTGGCTGTAGCTTTTGTAGTGAAGTCGCTTCCGACAGGACACAGGCAGGAGGGCACAGAGTCTTGGCAGCACTGGGTAGATGGTCCGAGGGTCCAGGGTCTGTCAGGGTCTGTCCTGTAGTCCCCTGGAAAGTGAAGGGACCCAAGTCTTACCATGTAACCAGTGTACCAAACGGTGGAGGCAGGCGGGGACATATGGATGGGCACTTCCCCTCACTGGGGGTCTTGCCTCCCGAGCCTCCAGTTTGGAGAAACCCCACCCCCACCCCATTACAGTCAGGGGTCAGCAGCTGCAGCAAAACGAGGGACAAGGGAACACCTCAATCGCTTAGGGCGGGAGAGGCAGGGTTCTGTGAACCGACAAGACATGCCTGAAAGAGGGAAGAGCTGACAACCAGGCATCGGTGAGACATGAGTGGGGGCAAAAGCAGAAACTAAGGACCAGAGCCATTGCATAAGCTGAGACGTTACAAAGGGGCAAAGATGACTGAGGTTTTTATTTTTAACCTAAAATTATAAAAAATTATGATCTAGTCATCAGAATAGAAACAAT